TATCAAAAATTTTCGAAATTTTATTATGTGATAAAATTCCGTAAATTTATATTAACGTTAAAATTCTGTAATATTTTCGAAAATTTTTGTAGGTCTTATAAATTTACGGAATTTTAATGTTTATAAAATTTTCAGAATATTTTGCCTATTAAAATTTTCTGATGTACCCCCTCAATGGGTATTGTAAAGCAAGTCTGAAAGGTAATCTAAGAATTATAGTTTTTCAAACCTACTCAAGAATTGAATTATGCTTGAAATTCTTCTTCTCTTTCTTCTTCTGTAATAAAGTATTCTTTAGTAATTTTGTAACTTAATTTGAGATAGTTTAAAATAGCTTGTCTAATTTTCAGTTCACTTTTGTAATAGGAATTGGTAAATGCTTTTATTTTTGTATCATATATTTCTTCATTAGGAATAAGTGATCTAGCTTTGATTATAATATATTGTTCTTGATTTTCTAATTTACGCAATTCATCAAGTTGTTTTTTATAATAACTCATGAAACTTTTATTTCTATCCTTGTTATAAAAATCACCTGGTCTTAATATATCAATTATTGATTTTTCGATTTTCTGCTATGATAGGAGAGAGGTATTGTCTTCTGAAGATAATTAAATAGTATTTTGAATAGTAGTTGTCATTTGAATAGATGTAATATTTGATAAATATAAAGTAATAAAAGTTTTATAATATACTTATAGAAAATCTTTTGTTTAAATTAAATTTTTACCTTATAAAATAATTGATGAATATACTTGTGAATATCTTAAACCATCTGGTGAAGTTTGTGAACATATATCTATAAATCCATATAGGTGTTATTATCATAAAAAATCAAAAAATAGAGTACCGTATTTAGAATATAGTAAGGGTGTATTATCATTAAGTGGATGAGATCCTGATCACATTAGAAATTTTTATGTTAGTAGGCATTATCAGAAATATTTTAAAAAAAAATGTATTCTTGTTTATAATAACTCTACTAATTTATAATTTTAGTACCTTTTGAACTATATATCAAAAATTTTTTTGATATCTTTATTGTAAATTTTTTACTACTTATTTTTGGTATACAAATTTTGGTACCCTTTGAACTATATATCAAAAATTTTTTGGTATCTTTATCCAATATATCGTAAATTTTTTAGTACTATTGTTATATATTCTAGTTATAAAATCTAGCTTAACTTTTTTGGTACACAAATTTTGATACCATTATTATATATTTTAGTTATAAAATTTAGCCTAACTTTTTTAATAAAGGTATCAAAAAATTAATATATTGGTTGGAAATAAATGAGAAATTGAATATGTTATAAAATAGTAATTTTTTTTTGTTAATGTAAATAAAGTTAAATCATGAAAATATTAAATTGTAGATAAACTTTGAATTAATATAAATTTTGATAGTTAAAAATAAAATGACAACCAAATAGTTAACTATGTTCCGTTTCACTTCGCAACTGTTTTGCATTTACCCTTTGGGGTTTATATTTCACAGTAACAGAAGACTAAATAAAATTTAGAAGAGAATTAGAATAGTAAAGAAAATAATATTAAATTTAAGCTTGCTGATGCTCATCACATTCAGTTTCAAGACATTTGTCCTTTAGTTTTTTGCTTTTTTTTTTATAGCAAGCAGAGTAGTAATATTGAGATGACATCGAAAAAATAAATCACATGTAATTCGAGTGACGTACAAAAAAAATTAAGCAAAATGATATATAAATCAATATAAGAGAAAAGTTTCCAGTGACGTGAAAAAGTAAAAATGCTATATAGATTTTGGGTACTGATTTCTAGTTCAATTCTCCCATAAACATACTACTAAAACCTATCAACACTAATTCTATGTAAGCTTTGTAATAATATTTTCTATATTTTTTTAGTGTACACATCAACATCCAATGTGAGAAAATTGAACTTTGATTTTAATAGTTCTAATATTTTGTTTATTTCTTTATATATGAAATCTGGAATCAATTCTTGTGGTATATTCATAATAATATTATCCATTTTAAAACACTACCCATATGAGAAAAATTTCAGATAATATAATATAATATAAAGACTATACTTGTACACAAAATTATTTTGAAATCTCAAAATTACAATTTCAGAGAAAAAAGTTAAAATAGTTTTTCATAGAAGACAAAATTATTTTACTTAAAATCCAAAATTTTTTGACCACCCAGATTTATTCTTTGATTGAATATACACATAACTGGGTACTTTTTTTACTTCCATATATAGAATAGATTCTGCATAAATTCCAAAAAGTCAAAATACCTCAAAAATTCAAAATCAATTTTGGAAACATGTATAATAAAGGCCACGCACAGCAAAAGAGAAGCAGAAACCTTCAACATCTAGAGGAATTGATTTATTCCTGAACACATTACTCTTCTGAGCTGTTGTATTTCTTCATTACTCAATTCACAGCATGAGTAAATTATAATATGTATATGCTAAACTAACCTCTGATAATATCCTATATCTTGATAAAGAACTTTTATCTTTAACAATACAAATCTAACTGCATGTTTAGTCAAATTTCTAATTTAGCCACTTCATCCTTCATTTATTGTCAAATAAAAGATTGAGCTACTGCAAATACCATTGAAAAGTACATCAATAAGTGCCTTTGTTTAAATTTTGAGAGTATATAGAATTTGGATTATTAATAAAATAGTTACTTATAATCAATTGTACAAAATGTGTCCTATAACTTAATTGTTATAGTGAAGGTTTGTGATGATAAAATTATGCATATAATTTCGATTCACTGCCCTTTAAATGAGTTTGGATTTTTTTTTTCTTTCTGATTTTTTGATATTTCGTAGATTTAGCAAAAAGCGAAACAATGCATGAAAATTTTTTTCACGACTCACAAAGCTAATTAATTGGATTTGGCAATTTGATTGTCGCATGATCACCACATTATTTTTCCTCCATTTTCTTCTATTTTCCTCTAATGACAACCAATTCTAGTTTTGAGAAAACTCAAAATGATCAAGTGTCGGTACAAACACAACCAATTTCTACAACACGGACCAATGACAGTAATAATACAACTTCGCAAGTAAAACCTACGAAAAAATTTGTTGTTGGTACTGACGATGGGATCGAAGACAACAACACTGAAGTTAAAGAAACAAGTCCTCGGGAAGCTTTAGAGTTATCTAATGATTCAAAGGAAATGGTTGAAAATCATCGAGATACAAAAGCAAGATTTTATAAACCTTACCCTGCTGAAGAAGTTGTAAAAGTAGTAGAAGAAAGAATGGCACAACAATCACAACAATCGCAACAATCGCAACAAAACCAACAAAGTGACGAAACATCACATGAACCAGCAACTAAAATTAAAGAATCATCTTCATTACCTCGAGAGAAAGATAATGAAGTTGAAAAAATTGTATCAACAGAGCAACCTAATCAACAATTACAAGATAAAAAGAATAATATTGAGATTAAAGAAGAAAATAATTCTAATCTTATAGAGACTGATCCTCGTTTTGCACAAAGTACAATAACGCTGCCACCTTCGCCACCCCCACCACGTCCACCAACTCCACCAAATAATAATATCAATAATAAAAAATTTAGACCTATTAGTTCTCAGTTATATACACCACCGAATGAAGAAATTCCCGATGCATCACCTGTCAATTCGAAAAACTTTGATATAGGAATTCAAGCTGATTCATATTCTATTTCACCTCCCTTGCTTGATGATTCTTATTCATCCGAATCTCTTAATTATCCACATCAGCCTCGATTTTTACCTCCAATCAATAGTATATCACGTACACAACAAAAATTATTGCTTCAACGTCAACATTTTCTTGCAGATGATGAAAATTATTTAATTCACCCACGTAATCAATTGAAATTAACAAAAGTTATTGAGAGAATAAATCGAGAACATGCAGCAATATTACTTTATCGAGATCCAATACTTGAGAGTTTTCAGAGAGCATTTACAAGATACGCACAAGATCATCCAGAAGTATTAGAAGATGATTTTGGTGCAGGATACGAAGATTCAAAGGAATGGGGGATACTATCAGAACAAGGTAAGGATGTTGATCAATTAGGATCTGGTGCTAATAATGCTGCAGGTGCAGAAGTATTAGCAGCCGAAAATTTGGCGTTCCGAGGAAGGAACTAAGTATATAGATATATTTAATGTGTTAATATGTTAGATAATTTTGATATCCTTTATTTTAATTCTTTTTTTCCACCATTCAGTGATTAGAAGAACAAATCCCTTTTATTTATATCTTTTTGCTTTAAGCACGCATCTTTATCCCTCTTCATCTTTACCCTCTCCATCATCTTATCAACAGAGTTGCTTATGATGATGTTCGTAAATAAAGTAAACGTTCACGAACTCTTTAAACGGCATGATTATAAAAAAATGAAATCTGTCTCTTGTACTATTGCCACATTGCCACATCTACATTTAAATTCAAAAGTTTTTGGGGGAAATGGTCTTTTTAACTACTAAAGACTATTTTGATTATACCCATTATTTCCATTATTAAATGTGTAACAAATTACAAAAATTTAATAAAAATTGTCCTTATTTTTTATTTATTTATATTGTTATTATTATTGTTAATTAATATTACAGATAATTTGAGTTATAAAATAAAATTATCTTAAAAATATTTTTTGCATTTATAATTTAGACAAAAATTTCGACCAGTTCGGTTGTTCCTTTTTCCTAAGAGCATTTAAACCGAAAGCAACTTCTTCAGAATTCATCATATCTGAAAATACTTGTTTAATATAATTAATTTTAATATTTTCATCATTATTACTATTAACGACCTTAACTAATTTTTTAATAGTACTCATCGCTCCCGGTGCACTAGATAAAAGTTCATTAATATATTTATTAACTTTATTATCTAATTCTTTTAAATTTTTTGCTGTACAAGTTAAAAAATTACTTGAAAGTGCTTGATCAGTTGAAATTATTTCACCAGTTAACATAAATTGTTTTGTTTTAAATATTCCAACTTCAGGAATTATATATTGTGAAATTATTGCTGGTACAAGACCTCTTTTAACTTCTTTAAAACTAAAGTATGCATTACTCAAAGCAATTCTTATATCCATAGTAAACATAAAGCCAACCCCACCTCCAAAGGCAGGTCCATTAATTTTCGCAATTACGGGTTTCGGACATTCTTTTACAGTTTGAAAGAAACGAATTCCCTCTTCTATATTAACATTATGACCTTTTAAATCCAAGCCTGTACAAAAATATTTTCCGGTTCCTGTGACAACAATAATACGTACAGAAGGATCAGAGGTAACTTTGTTGAAAGCCTCAAGAAATTCAGTGACCATAGAAATAGTTAAAGAATTTCCATGTTGCGGTCTATTTAAAGTTATAGTAGCAACTTCATTTTCAATGTCTAAAAGTATTTCTTGATTTTTTATATTTTCTTTCTGTCTATGAGACATTAAAAGAATTTAACACTAAAAGATGTGCTACCATATATATCTTCTTTTTTTACCAGTCTCACATGACCTCTAAGGATAAAAAAAAAAAAAGATCAGCCAACCGCATTACGCGGAATTTTTCCTTCAAAATATTTTATATTATATAAAATATTATATAAATGGATTCAAAATTTTTTTTTTTTGTCAATTAAATTAATTACTAGAAACATGCATAAATTTCATGATATTATTCCAAATTTGGATTGTTGCGATAATCATATGTCTTAATTAATTAATTGAATAAATAATAATAATATTTATAAAATATTTTATTATTCCATTTTTAGAAAATTAAAGCAAGAATTTTAATTAAACAAATATAAACGCTAGGTTGTAGTATTTCATGTATGTTTATTCCCATTTTAAAAACAATTCTGTGCGGATGTATGAAGAGATTGGTGAATAAACATGTATTAAAACGTGTACTGCAGGTTAAGATGATTTGAACCGTCTATTTTTCCGATTTTCCGAGGGAATGATATATAGGAAATTATGAATTTTTTATCGGAAATTTTATTGAAATCGGGAAAAAATTATTAGATTACTATTCTAGGTACGTTTTCTTAAAATCTTTAACATCTTACCACCTGAGGAATCAAAGTGGTGTAAGTCACCCTGCAGGTGAAGAGGTGTTCAATTGAATTCATGACTAGCATATATATTTTTCCTTGAATGCAATATTCATTTCTTAAAAATTGACATCTACTTTCTATTCTCTCATTTTAACTTTACTTTCCTTAATTTAAACACATTTCTTTTTAAAAGGTTGCTGTGAGCTGTGCTTTGTGGTATAAAGAAACCACAACAAAGATCGCACGCGAAACGTTTAAATCATCCGCTAACTTATTTTAGATTAAACCACCACTTTCTTTAATATTTATTAAAAATGACAACCCAAAATTCTGTTATTAATTGGATCTCTCTTCCAAAATTCGGTTATGGATTTGCAATATATCCATTCACTCCAGGGTCTTCAAATTCGACCAATTCAACCAAAGGGGAAGCAGTTGTTTCTGACGCTGACGCTTCATCAATAACTTCCACAAATGAAAATTCTCCCATCATATCTTTTCAAGTAACTCTTGAAGTAGGAGACGAAGTTTATGTTTTTGAAGAACAAGGCGCCTGGTATCGTGGTTATGTTGTTTCTCAATTACGACAAACAGAAGAACCTCAAGTTTATGTTGGTATTTTTCCAATGAATCATGTCTATATTAAAGAATATTTGGATGATATAGAATTATTACAAGAAAATAGTGATGTCGCTTCTATATCAGAAAATGAAAAATACACTAGACCTCCTCCACCTTTACCTTCTCTCAAATGTGGAGATGATACAGTCAGTGGAAAAAGTGAACCTTTAGTTGATGAGATCGCTAGTACCGTTAGAGAATGGAGTAGTATATTACCGAAATATTTGGAAGAAAGAAATTATGATATGTTCAGAACAGTCAAAGATCAAATAAATAATTTATTACAAGGGAGACGTCAATTGTTGGCTCAAACGTTATCACATGATGAACTAAGCAAATTACGGAGGGAACTTATTAATAAACTTGTATCTGGTAACCTAATTCAAAATTTAGATATCATTGTACGAGATCCAGAGAGAGGTTTTCTTGCTGACGAAACGAATATATCTGCTATTCGTCTTTATCAATTACAAACGCAATTATCAACTTTGAATATTGATAAACAAAAATCTGAATCTGTCTTACTAAGTCCTGCAGCATCAACTCCTAACGCGCAACAAACACAATCTTCATCAACATTAGCTGATACAGGAAGTCATATCCCAAAGTTTTATCACATATTTTTGGATTTAAAAGCCTGGGTGGCATCAATTTCAGCACCTGGTGAATACACTGAACTTTATTTTTCATTATATACAAAAGCTGGTGGACGTTTTATTACAGAAGAATACTTTATTGTGTTTAATCATAATGGTGTACCAAAGGATGAATCGAAGATAGGAAAAATTCGGACGATTTTTACTGATCTTTCTCATCACGATATCCAGGAACAAATTTATTTAGTTTGTCGAATTGTCAGGACGGGTAGTATGAAAATTACAGATAGAGATAAAGAAATACCAAAGGAAGTTGGTTCAATGACCTCATTGTTTTCTAAATCTTTAAAAGAAACAGAAAATGCTGATCAATCAACGCAACAGGTCAATGGAAAATTACCAACACAAGCATTCCGTAGACCTTTTGGATGTGCTGTTCTCGAGATTAGTCATCTTCTTCAAGGAAAGGAAAAAGAATCTATGAGCGAACACGTAATGCCAATTTTTGTTCCTATACAAGAGTCAACTTTTGCCACACTTCATGAAGACATTATTATGGATCATATTAAAGATTTTGAAAAATCACCACGTGCAGAAATGGTAAGCGTCTCAATTCGTCCTTATTATGGTGAGGCAGCTACTATTATTAAAGAAAATCCAGCATTGCTACAAGATATTCCTATTACATCTCGTCTTGGTTTTCCTGATGTTGTATTTCCAGGGGACGTACGAAATGAAATTTATATCAAATTAATATCAGGTGATTTTTCACAAGGACGTACTACTACCGCAAAAAATATTCAAGTTACAGCAGAAGTTAGACTTAATTCAGGAGAAACATTAGAAAATGTAATATCACAAGGAACCGGTGAGCCTCGAACAACACACTTCGAGTCACTAGTTTTTTATCATTCTAATAATCCTATGTGGGGCGAATTAATAAAATTATGCATTCCAATAGAATTAATTGAACAAGCTCACTTGTTTTTCACATTTCGTCATCGATCGACAAGGGACAAGAAGGAAGATAAAATTTATGCATTTGCTTATATTCCTTTGTTCCCAGAAAATCGTGCTTTCATTAGTGATGGAAAGCATAATCTTACTTTATATAGATATGACAAACAATTGATTAATTCTTCCTCATATTTAAAAGCTCCTTGGACACCTTCCGCTACAATTCCAGATACTGTTTCTGTACATTCTTTCACCAGTTCGCATTCGACTCATAAATTAGTTACTTCGTCTAGGGAATCTATGTCAATAATGACATTTTTATGTTCTACAAAATACACACAAAATGAAGTATTACTTAAATTATTGAATTGGGAAAAACAACTTTTGTCAGATGCACATGAAATGGTATCTGTTTTGAAAAAATTCACTTTTGTCGGTGAAGTCGAAATAGTAAAATTTTTACGAGATATTTTTGATGCACTTTTTGGGATTCTTATTTCTACAAAAAATCAACAAGGAGACTTAGATGATTTGATATTCAGTGCCCTTGTAACAATACTTGGTATAGTTTCTGATCGACGATTTACGAATTTCCGACCAGTACTTGATGTTTACATAGAAAAACACTTTACTTGTGCTCCCGCATCTTCTCATTTGATTCGATCAATGAATCGTCTTATCTCTAATCCAACCAATCCTGATAACGCACAAAATTTACGATCCGCCATTAAAGTATGGCAATATATTTTTAAGATAATATTACGATCTCGAGAACTTCAACGAACCAAAGAAACTGATATTGGATTATCCGGAAATTATGTTGAGGAACAGTTTAAAAAAGATCTTTTTGCACTTTTCAAAAGTATAGACAAGCTCATGTCAATCACTACTCCCCAATCAATCATTGGTACGCAAACATTGGCCTTGCAAAATTTTGCATCTATATTTTCAGATCTGGGTAAATGTTTTACACCGGAAGATCTAGTACAAATTGCGATTCGTTTTACCGAATCTGTAAGATTACCTAAGGGTAAACTATTAGCATATAAATTGTTAGTTGTACTTCAATTCTGTAGAGGACCATTATTTGAGAACGCAGAATCTCGTGCGATTCTTTTACGTAGAGTAGTTGAGTGGGTAGCGGATCATATGGGTAAATGGGAAAAAACAGGAAAAGTTATTGATGTTGAAACTGCTAGAATGCAATGGCAAGATGGTATCCGTTTATGTATTACAATTATTGCTGTCATGTTAGAGAGCTTACAAAATACCATTGAGTTATCTACTGATGAGGAATTTTTACAAAGAGAAGTTGAAAATGTAAAAATAATTCATCCACTCATGATGAAACTTTGTGAATCCTATAGAGAATTACATATAACTAATAATGGTTCACGTCAAAGAAATGATCGAACTGCTTCTATCGGATCCTTATCTATGTTAACAAGTTCATATTTAAACCAGACTCCTGCTCTAACAAATAAATATTCAAGGGAATTTCCTTTTTATCAATTTCAAAGTTCTAATTCTATTGGATTAGGAGAAATATCGTCTGTGATATTACAAATCTTGTTTTTATTAACGCAAGATAATATAAAAGAACATTTGCTTTCCACTTATTATCGTGAAGGACACGATGCTACTGGAGAATTCTTGATTTTACTATTCCAGGTAGCAAGATCAATTCTAAAAAATGAAGCATTTCCGTCATCTTGGTTGAACATGAATATTATGTCTCTTAAGGTTTTCTTGAAATTCCTTGAGCCTGTTTCTTCCTTGATGGAAAAGAATTATATACCTGATAAAGAAGCTCCCGAAAATTTTAATGAACAGCTTTGGCGAGAATACTTCAATTTTCTATTATGTTTGCTTACCAATGAACATTTAATAATTGAAAATTTCACACCACAAAAACGTCGAGCAATCTGGCGACTAGCAGGTGATCTTCGAGGACATGGTGCTAAACTGTTATCAAACTTATGGGATTCTCTTGGTTGGAGACAAGGCAAAGATGGTAAAATGGCAGGTTATCAAACTCGTTTTATTAATACACTTTTAGGTCCGATATTAGAATTATGTTTATCTCATCATGATGAATTACGTTCAGCGGCGATCACAGTATTGTTTAGTATAATAGTAACGCAATACACTATGGAAGAAGATCTTAAACAAATGGAATCAGATATAATAGATTTGTTAGATAAATTATTTATGTCAGAAAATAAGGGAGATGAAATTTCTCGTGCTTACTTTATTGTTCAATTACGAAGTTTATTTGAGGATTCTAATGTTGATGCTCCATTGAAAGAAATTATTATGAAATTTTTGGATTCACTGAGTGAATTTTTAGAACTTTTACTTGGAGTCCGTGAATTACCTGAAGGTGATGAATTTCAAGATGATCGAATAATGTGTACTCTCAAATTAATGAAATTCATCAAATCCATTGAACGTGATCAAATATACATCAAATATGTTCATCAATTAGTTCAAATGCAAGTTAATTATCTTAATTTTGTTGAGGCTGCATTAGCGCTTAAACTACACTCCGATTTATATGAATGGGATCCAAACTCTGAAGTTGAGGCACTTCCAGACTTAGATTTCCCTAAACAATCCCCATTTGATCGAAAAGAAAGATTATATATACAAATTCTAGACTATTTTGTAAAGGGTAAAGCATGGGAATGTGGTATTGAAATTTGCAAAGAATTGGCTCGACATTTTGAATATACGACCCATGATTACCAACGTCTCAGTAATATTCTTAAACAACAAGCTGTACTACATGAAAATGTGATTAAAAAAGAAAGATATTTCAGTGAATATTTCCGAGTTGGTTTCTATGGTAGAGGATTTCCGGCTAGTTTACAAAATCGTCAATTCATATACCGAGGATATGAATGGGAAAAGATTGGAGCATTCTGTGAACGTATGCAAAACAAGCATCCTCAAGCTCAATTGTTAAAATCAAATAATCCTCCAACAGATGATATTCTTTATGGAGATGGACAATTTTTACAAGTGACGGCAGTAAATCCCGAACCTGATAGAAATAATCCTGTATTTAAAGGAGATGTACCTTCCGCAATTCGTAGTTATTATGAGCATAATTCCGTAAATACATTTTGTTTTTCACGACCAGTAAATAAGAATCCTGATGGAGTGAAATCATCTAATGAGTTTTTAGATCTATGGACAGAAAAGACTATAATGATATCTGAGGATTACTTTCCTACCGTACTTCGAAGATCAGAAGTTATTCAAGTTACAATTATTGAAGTATCACCAATTGAAAATGCTATTGCCACTATGAAAGCAAAAAATCGTGAATTATTGGCACTTGAGGCAAAATATAATGCTTATCTTTCTTCAAAAAACGTTGATATTGATAAAATAAATACCAATCCATTATCTATGTCATTAAATGGTGCTGTAGATGCACCTGTCAATGGTGGTGTCCCAATGTATAAGAAAGCATTTTTTGGATCAGACTTTTTAACAGCAAATTCTGATAAGGAAGTTTTTGTTGAACAACTAAAGGAGGCAATTGAGGAACAGGTAAATACATTTCTTTATTAACCATTTAATAATATGATAATATCAAGTAACATTAAATAATATTAAATAACATTAAATAACATTTAATGATTTGCTTTAAAAAAAAAAAGGTTCATATAATTGATAGATCTTTGGATATACATGAACGTTTAGTTTCCAATGAAATGCGTCCACTGCATGATACACTCGTTAAATGTATGTTTAATATTTACTATAATTTATGTATTTTATGCTTATTCTAAAATTTATTTAAAAATTTTCTTCATATTTTTTTCTTTTGTTTTATAGTCTTTCACCGAAATTTTTCGGAAGAAATTTATCGATTAGCCGAGCGTAAAAAATCGAAGGCTCAAAATTCAGTAAAAAACGCGAAACCATCTAAACTAGTGACATCTGATTCATTTACCGCATCACCATTTTTCCTTCCACCATTAAATATCAATAAATCATTTGGAATTCCATCAACATATGGAGTTCCATCATATACAACCGAATCATTATCACCTATATCTCCCATATCAATGCCACTGTCTAATTCTTCAATAATAACAAGAGTAACGTCGGTGAAATTAAATTCAAAGTCCGTAGGTTCACAATCAGATAGTTGTTCGAATACTGCTTCGGCAACATATACTAAAAGTCCATCAGAAGGAGGGAGCAGTAATAATAGCATTGATGATACAATTGCGGACATGCCGGTAATTAAGAAGAGAAGTACAATTAAAGAACGTCAAAACTCGTCTCCATTTAGTGAGAAACGTATGATCCTTAGAGGATTCTCATTAAATCGTAATAAAAGTACTACACAGTAAAATCATTCAAAATTTCCTGAACATTTCTTTAATAGAAATATTTTAAATAAATTTTTTTTATAAATTTTTTATAAATTTTTTTGGGAGGGGTATTAATTTTATCATTTTTATTATTATATAAGTAATATTATTTTTAGTATTTAAATTAATTATAAAAAGTTTTAAAATTTATAAAATTTATTTATTTGTATTAAAATCCATTTCATTCATTACAATAATATTAAATATTTATGTTTATTAATTCTAATTTTCTTGTATTTCTTGTATTTCTTTGTAACTTTATTCAAATTCGATTGTTAATGTATTATCTAAAATAAAAATAATGTATATACACATACATACACACAAGATTTAGCACGCGATATGTAACTCGTGATTTTAGAACGCGTTTGATCGACATAAATTTTACCTGTTTACATTTTTTTGTAAACAAGGCAAGGAACAAAATATCTTTCTCATCCAGAAATAAGAATAACTTATCATATCAATATAATTAAGATGACATCCAATTATCTCACACTTTCACATATTGGTCTTGGAACATATCGAATGTGTGCCAACGTCTTGAAAAATAAAGTAGCTTTTTATGAAGCACTTACTAGAAAACCTAAAGCTCCAATTATCAATGTTATCGATACTTCGCCAAATTATTGTAATGCTTTAACTTTAAAAATTTTCTTTTTTATAAATACATATCTATGTATATTTTCTCCAACGGATAAATATATATATCTCTCTTATAATAATATTTAATTTATTCAAAAATATAGTTAATTTAGGTAGTGAGAAGATAGTTGGAGAATATTTGGGAGATATTTGGAATCGAGAAAATTTTGTTAATAATAATAATAATAATAATAATCAAGGAAGTACAATATTCAAAAGAGAAGATATTTTTTTGTCATCAAAATTTGGAAACATAATAGGAGAAAATATGAGAAATATAGAAAGTGAAATTGAATGCCTTAAGGTGTTTAAGAATTAATTTTTTTTTTAATACTCTAAATTTCAAGAATTTTTAACAATTACCTTACCTTTATATATAAATATAGATTCCGAGTGGAAATATTGTTAAACATTCAGAATATTGTTATCATTGTATCCATCCAGAATTTATGAGGTAAATTTAATTTATCTAATTTATTCAATTTTATTATTTAATAACTTATCTTATTTAAATCTTAGAGCTCAATTACACAAAAGTTTGGAACAATTGAAAACAAATTATTTGGACTTTTTTTTTATTCATAATCCTGAATACTTTTTAAAGAAACATGTTAAATTTACTGCTAATAATCGTAAAGGTAAAATATTCAAGGTTATTCTATATTTTACAAACAAACAAGAATCCACTCACGTATACATATAAATTTTTTAGTCCTTGGAAAAGTAATTATAGAAAGAATTAGTGAAACATTTATTGCATTAGAGCAAGCAATTTCTCAGGGTCTAATTCGTTCATATGGAATTAGTTCAAGTAGTTTTGCCTTACCAAATACTGATCAAAATTTCTTACCATATGAGGATTTGTTAGACAGAGCAAGAAAAGCATCAAGGATTGTTAGAGGAACTGAAAATCATGGATTCACGGCCATACAATTCCCGGCAAATATGTTGGAACCAATTGGATTGGAAACTACTGCAAAATGGGCTAAAAGTAATGGATTAAAAGTTAGTTTATTCATATCATAACATTAGGAATTTTTGTTAATAATAAATTAAATTTTTATATTCAATTAATATTTATTTTATTCTTTACTCATAATATTAAGGTATTTGTTAATAGACCTTTTAATGCATTTACTAAAGATGGCAGATTTCGCTTAGCCAGTTATCCGAAATCTTCATATGGCCAAATCAAAGAATCAACTATAGAAAGGCTTAAATCATCTACTCAAGGATATAATGATTTTCATATAGAAGGTTTAATTGATTGGATAATTCGAATTGGTTCACAACTTTCTGAGTTTGAGTCAATATATCATTTTGATGCTTATAAAGTAATTTTAGAACAAAGAATTAAAAAAGTTCATAAAGATCCAATGATAAGAATGATTTTAAAAGATTTCATTAATGGACTTGAAGATGAAATAAGATATAGAGATTCACGAAGAGTTGAAACCTATCTTAAAAAAAATGGATGGGAAAGTTTGATAAAAAATAAACCAATAGAAGAAGTAGCCTATGAATTTTTAAAAGATAGTGGAGTAGTAGATTGTGTTTTGATGGAGTTAACTGCAAAGAATTATGTTGATTTTGCTATTCAAATGTTAGAGAAATATAAGTAATATGTAAAGTCATATTATTATTATTATTATAAAGGGTTATAATGTTGTATTAATATTGATTCACCAATATAACTTCATACTCTTTTCTAACAGAATTAAAACACTTGATTTTCCTTCCTTCCTATAAATCAATCATTTTTATTAATATATGAATAAATCTTAAATAAACAATAAATAAATATATATATATTAAACTTTAATAACCTGTTGTGCAATTTTTAATTCATCAATGGTAATCTTATCGCAAATAATTTTTCCTAAATTTATTAGATAAGATCTCATTGTACCAGGCAACAATCCTATTTATTATAATGAACATTTAATTAATAATAATTTTATCTATATATAATAATATTAAAAATATTACATACCACATTCAATCTTTGGAGTTTTCCAAACCATTTTCTTTTTATCTTGATCATAAAATTCTACAGCAATATTAGAAATTGAACATTCTGTAATTTCATTATTTTCATTATACATTAATACATCAAATATATCATTATTTTCATTCTTTGATCCTGGAAGTAAATTTAAGTTCATCTATCAAAATTTACACAAAAATTAAATTAATTTATAAATTTAAATATATAATTTATTAACAACATACATTTACTTACTCGAATCCTAGCATCCTCATATACTTTTCTATGAGTTGTTTTGTGATAAAGAAACATATCGGTAGATAATGTACATTCTTTATCAAGAATTATTTTTAATGGTTCTTAAAGCAAAATTAGATAAAATATGATAATAAAGAATTTTAGATTAAAAGCAATAAAGAGAATTATAAAAAAAAAAAAAAAAGAAATAACAAACCTTGAGAAGTGGTTGAAGATATCTTAAAATTTGTTACTTTTATTACACCATTTTTAGTTATTGTTAATCTTACCTAGAATTATAAACAACCCATTTTATTTATAATATATTTAATTTATGTGACATTTTCATGTTATAAAGGAGTAAAAAAAAAATCTGTATAAAATTAATAAATACCCTTTGCTTAACATCTTTTCCTAACCTTTCTACACTTTGTTGTAATTCAATTTCAACCCTTTTAAGAAATTCAGAGTTTCTACAATCTTCAAAAATTTTTGATTTTGAATTTTGATAAAAATATTCAGCTGATTTAATTATGCGGGAAAAATGTTGGTCTAAAAGAAAGAAACCTAATTATATTATAACCAATATAAATATTACAAATATTATAATGTTGTTTATGTGGTAAAGTGGTCAAATAATGAGGATTTGGAGAATTAGTAATTCTTTAATTAATTTACCTAAAGGTGGATCATAAAGAATTGTTTCTAAAAGTTCAAATTCTCTGTCATCTATATCAACCATGTTTTAAATTTTTAATGCATAATTCATAATTCGCATCAGTTCAGTTAAATATGTTAAAATGATCGGCTATTCTACTTAAATCCATTAAGGTTTTAATTTACAATTAAGGAAATGATGACAAAAATTAGAATAATAATAATAATAAATGACTACAACAAATGAAGAAAATAACCTTTATTGAAAAATAAGATATAAGATTTTTTGAAACATTTAAATATTTACTGATATAAGCATTTTGAAAGTAGAAATGAGAAACGATTAAATCTCTTAAATACAAAAATCAAAAATTCTCGGTCCAAATAACACAGGAGTAAATATATAAAAAAAATATCGCGAAGATTAATTTTTTTATAACTATTCTTCATAATATTTTAGGATGGGATTTCTCGTTACACTGAACGCCTCTTGTTCGTTCATTTTTTAAAAATCGAATTTTCTAAAATTAATATTTTAAAATTTGCTAAATTAAATATATTTCGTGTTGTGTTTTATGTGACATGTTATCGAGACAGGGATATTAATTCGGAATCAAAAATCAAATTATTTTAGATAAATAATTGTTTTTTATTGAAAATGGTAAGTAAGAATTGGTAAAAATGAGGGGATGTTCAAAATTATATCTTCTCACACACGATTGGAATATTTAGCAGTACAATAATATTTCCAATATAAATAGGTTCCTAAATAGTTTTCTTATTGACTTTGAAAACTTCGTAATTAATAATTGAAGAATATCCATGGGTTTTTCATATCTGTCATCATGATTATCAAAATAGTAAAATTAGATCCATTACTCCACATATAAAGATGACCTCTTCCAAAATCAGGGCCAAAATATTTTTGATTAACATTATTATAATAATATAATGCATATTTAGGTTGCTTTACTCTACTAAGAATTGAATTTTGAATATTGCCATTTTCAATTTTCCCTATAAATAGAAGTATTTACTGTTACCCCAAAATTTCATCAGTTCCTTTGACTTTTATAATAACTACCGTACCAGCGTGACCATGGCACATGTTCCAAAACGTTTGTGGGGGAAAATCCATCTTTGCTTCCTCTTAAAATTAACTGAAATTCATATGGATAATTTGTTGAAAGATATGTAGTATTTTTACGATCAATTCAGGAGGAAATTTCTGCAGCATGATTATCGGAAATAATGGTTGAAAAAGAAAGAACAGATAATTCAATAATCAAAATTGTTCTTGCTGGTAAAATAACTGATTTCATTGGTTGAGTAAGAGATATTAAATATTGTATTAAATCTTCCCAAAGTTGTTTATCGAGAATTTTCTCATAAGGTTTTACTTTTTTTAAGATATCATCACCAGGAATATGAAAGTATCTAATATATGGTAAGCAATGTTGGAGCGTCGTCTTCAAAGTTAAAAAATTATCCTTATTCCATTCATCAAGATTGGTAGATAAAGTGGGATTCAGAGAAATTCCCCATTTGAATGTATATTCCCATATTTTGGCTTCTTCTACTTGCAAATCATCTCGTTTGTGAAGAGATACCAATGTAACTTCTTGGAGAGATGTAAAATCTTCGGCATCAAAAATAAGATTAGGATACTTTGCAACAATATCATTACAAAAATTTTCTAAATCTTTAAAGTTATTATTAATAAAAATTGTACAATATATAAGAGGAAAGTGTGATTTTATCCCAAGAAGTTTTCTCTTCGATAAGAATAACTTCTAATTTTTTGGATAATTCTTCAAGCTCGAATTTGTTAGCTGTTAACATCAAGTCAAAAATAATTCTTGTTTCAATAATATCTAAATTAATAATACCACCATAAATATATCTAGAAATAATTAAATTATTATTAGTGAAGTCATAATTTTAATTTTAAAATAATTACAACTTACTTGAGAATAATATCAAGAATTTGAACAGAAATGTCAGGTTTAATAATTGTTTTGATATTATTTTCATTTGGATTAATAGTATCCAATTCTTTACAAAAAATGAGGGAACTGACATTTAAGTATGTTATGTTAGAGTGTGCAGTAAAATACTTCTTATCTTCAACTTCTTTGTCATTAAGAAGTTTTGTAAAATTTAAGATAGTTTATCAAAAAATTTTAATGCCATTTTTTTTTGTAGGTAAAGTGTGCACGGTATTTTTTTATTATCCATTTTTTTTTAATACAGTATAGCAAAATAATGTATATTTTATATGAAATTATTATGTCAACTCTTATGATTAAACATATATTGACAAAAAACCGAATTTTTCTTATTGACTATAATAAATAATTTAAGCCTAATAATCAAACTTTTAAAGTTCATTTCTATATTCACAATCTTATAGTCCTTTTTTAAAAATAAATTCAATGAAAATCATGTTAAAGTATTAAAATTGTCTGATATTTCACAAACTAATAAATGACAATAATATTTTTATATAACTTAGGTACATTGATCAATTTGATATTGATGAATTGGTCAATCTCATCTTGGTTAAGGTTAAACTTTACTCAAGTTTACCAGATAAGTTATATAATCAAATACTTCATGACTTTGTAAAGATATTATTGTTAAGTATCCTAATACTACTTTTCAAATCTGAGAATTTTCGTTCTCTTCCTGAATATGTACTAATTAGCGTTCGCAATTGCAATTGGAGGAAGATAAGATCTGGGGAAAAAAACAAAAATCAAACTTTGCCTACCAATCTTGACAAATGGCAACTTCTTAACCTTAAAGACAACTTTGAAAAAGTGTCTTTCATTTATTAAACATGGGTTGAATGAGGAAAGACTGACAATTTTTTTTTTTAAGTATGGTATTGGTAAGGAGTATTTGCAAATAGGTAAAGATGCCGCAAATTGGCTATATGCATTGATGAAAAAATATTGAGAGATAACTTGGGGTTTGCCATTTTAGTTTGTCTTAGAACATTGATTCTTCAATGTGTGAAATATTTTAGCATTTCTGGTGATGATATATCGGATAAGCATTGCATTTTCATTTCTGCAACTTTTTTGAACCGAAACTGGGTTAGATATCAAATACTAAATTCACACCACCTAACAGACCAGCAAGATTACCACCTCAAAAGATTTTAAATGCATAAAATTTCTAATTAGAAATATTTCAATTCCTTCCAATAATTTCAATAATTTCCACTTACTCAAAAATTATCCATATGAATTTCAGTTAATTTTATGAGGAAGTAGAGATGGATTTGGCCCCACAAACTTTGTGATGTGGTACTTTATTTTGAAAATTAAAAGAACTAATGAATATCTTGATTCTTACAATCCTTTAATGTGGGAAAATAGTTTACTGTCTCATTGAAGATGATAATATTTAAAATTCAATTCTTAGCAGAGTAAAGGTGCCTGAATATGCAGTTTATTATCGAGAACACAACAGTGCATCTTTTATATGTGGAGCTAATCTAATTTTACTATAGGTAATCTGGGTCTTATAATGATAGAAATTACGAAAAATCCATTAGAGCAGATGGATATTTTTCAAATTATTGATTATGAAGTTTTCAAAGTCAATAAGAAAACTACTTAGGAATTTAGCTTTAAGGAGATATTTATTCCTTTATTCTTTATATTGAAGTTGTATTTATTTATTAATCTATCAATAAATTACAATTATAATCCTATTTATAAAAAGAATTTTTTTTTTTTGACTTTAACTTCAAAAAATGGATTGGTTCATATAGATTACATCAGTGATTATTTTTTGCAATTGTTAAATATGAAGCATTTAAATTCAGTTCCTATATCGCGTTGTGCTGATCTTTAGGATAGAAATTATTTTGTTACAATATAAAGACAACCATCTCCCCTTCCGTGGAGAAAAGGTTATACGAAACACCTCTGTTGAGCCTTACAATGAATGGGACTGGCAGACATAGAAATGCTCATACTTGAGGCCCCCTTTGAAAACAATGAAAAAAGAAAAACTAGAATGTGATGAGGATAACATGCCAATATTTTATTTACCAAATTTGAATATTTAAATTTTATATAGTTTTAAATATTTCATGTATGTTATATATTTCTTATTGATATGTTTTTATATTGTATTCATTCTTCGTTCTTTTAATGACTGCGGTATTTCTCGTATTTTTTGCGTGCTTTCAATTTTACAATACGAATCAAAAATCAAATTTTTTTCGATAAATAATCACATAGTTGAAATATTTGCAACAATATTACCAATAGTTATTGTAGTTAGTGGAATTATTTCTTACAATTTATATGATTCAATTTCATTTTTTCAAAGTTAAAAACCATAAAATTTTAATATTAATTTAGAAATGTAAAAGATTCAAAAAAATGTAGATTTAATAGATTAAATTATCGATACAACTTCAATATAATAAAATATAAAGAATAAAGGAATAAATATTTCTTAAAAACTAAATTCCTATTTAGTTTTGCTATTGACCTTGAAAAATAAACATCTGTTCTAATGGATTTTTCAGATCTGCCAAGATTAAGAGACCCAGATACATTATCCATAGATAAAATTACTATTTTTTAAATAATTAATTTCCGCTTTTGAAACTGAGTGAATTACAATTAAGGAGTGGAAATTTAAGTAATAGATTGTTTACTGCGCATATAAAGATCATCACCAAAATCAAGGTCATGTGAGTTTTGACGACCTTTTTCATAACAATATAATACATATTGAGGTTTCTTTACTCTACTAAGAATTGAATTTTGAACATTACCATTTTTCAATGAGAAAATAAAACTATCATTTGTTTCCCTATAAGCATTAGAAGTATTACTGTTATCCCACATTAAAGGATTATAACCTCCCAAAATTTCATCAGTTTGACTTTTATAATAACTACCGTACCAGCATGACCATGGCACATGTTCCAAAACGTTTATGGAGGCAAATCCATCTTTGCTTCCTCGTAAAATTAACTGAAATTCATATGGATAATTCGTTGAAGAACATGTAGTATTTTTACGATCAATCCAGGAGGAAATTTCTGCAGCATGATCATCAGAAATAGTGGTTGAACAAGAAGGTTCTTTTGAACGGGCAGGTAATTCAGGAATTAAAACTGATCTCGCTAGTAAAACAACTGATTTCTTTGGTTGATTAGGAGACAAAAATGTTGAAATAAATCCTCCAAAAGTTGTTTATCAAGAATTTTCTTGTAAGGTTTTACTTTTTTTAAGATATCATCACCAGGAATATGAAAATATCTAATATATGGTAAGCAATGTTGGAGCGTCGTCTTCAAAGTTAAAAAATTATCCTTATTCCATTCATCAGGGTTGGTAGATAAAGTGTTCCCCATTTGATTATGTATTACCATATTTTGGCTTCTTCTATTTGCAAATCATCACGTTTGAGAAGAGACACCAATGCAGCTTCTTGGAGAGATGTAAAATCTTCGGCATCAAAAATAATACTAGGATACTTTGCAACAATATCATTGCATAAAATTTCTAAATCTTTAAAGTTATTATTATTAATAAAAATTGTATGATATACAAGAGTTTTAACCAAGAAGCTTTATCTTTGATAAGAATAACTTCTAATTTCTTGAATAATTCTTCAAGCTCGAATTTGTTAGCTGTTAACATCAAGTCAAAAACAATTCTTGTTTCAATATTATCTAGAAATAATTAAATTATTATTAGTGAAGTCATTATTTTAATTTTAAAATAATTATAACTTACTTGAGAATAATATCAAGAATTTGAGCAGAAATGTCAGGCTTAATAATTGTTTTGATATTATTTTCATTTGGATTAATAGTATCAAATTATTTACAAAAATAAGGTGACCGACATTTAAGGATGTTAGAGTGTGCAGTAAATTGTTTCTTATCTTCAACTTCGATAATTAGATTATAATCAACTTTGTCATTAAGAAGCTTAGTAAAATTTCGAGATAATTTATCAAAAAATTTTAATGCCATTTTTTATTATAAATTGTCTGCAAAATACGATTGTGTGGGGAATGAATGAACTTCTTGTTGCACAAACAAACAAAGACGATTATTATTATTGCATGCATATTTCGTTAAAAAAACAAATTAACTTTCTTGTAATAATAAATAATTTGATAGACAAGATAAGAAAAACATGTCCGTTTTTATAAACACAAGAATGATGAATATACAAAATTAATCTGGAATAACTTTACTATTTACGATCAAAGAATATTTTTTTCATATTTAATTGTTATATAGTAATATATATTTTCGTCCAATTAAACATTTTTCCTTGTTTATTTCTATCAGAGATGTTTTATTCTGAAATATATATATCAGTGACACCATTTATAGTGGTGAATATATTAATACAGCCATAAATAATTACGAATTTTGGGACTGAAATTTTGTTAAAAACCTTATTTATTTAAAGACCTGATCTAGACTCTTATCCTAAACACTCACTTTAAATGTATGGGTTATGTCAGGGATAATGTATTTATCACCGTTTCACACCTTTCAAATATCAATTTTATTAAATATCCTGATTTTTTTACATGCGAAAACCCTTATTTGTCACTCAATATTGGTTACCTAGAATCTGTCACATGAACATACACGTATAATAAAATAGACCTACGTCTAGACCCTATATAAATAAATTATTTTTTAAAGTAAAATATACCTTTTATATTACGTAATTTAATTTTATACTAATTCTTAAGTTCATAAATTGTACTACCATTAAAAAAGTATATTATTTTGGGAACGCGAAATTCCTCAAATTATTTAATTTTAATTCTAAATAGAAACATAATTAAACTTTATTAGTTATGGAGCATATGAAATATAATTGAAAAAAAAACCAACCCAATTTAAATAAGAATTTGGTTGAACATCTTTATTAGATTTATTGGTAACATAAAAGACATATAGTATGACAGAAATATAACATAATTACAAAGATTTTCAGCCTTTTCTTAACTTAAAAGAACATTTAAAATTATTAATAGCAAAAACAATAAAGAGCATATAAACATATTATACAATTAATTTTTGAAAAAAAAAGTATCGCATATCGTGCCATCCTCCTTACATAATTTTAGATGAATAATATGAAATGAAATATAATATTAGAGGAAAAAAAATTCACAAATAATTGTCTACGATAAACAACGCACAAAATAATGTAACGAGAAAAAAAAATAAACAAAGGACAAAACGCCTTAATCTACAATCCTAAAAAAAGATTGATATATCATACTATTTCTTGAATCTAAATGGTATTAATAGCAATTTATGTAATAGTTTAAATAAATTATTGTATATGATGCATATGATTGGTTTTTTTTATATGAATTCGTAATATTGTCAATAGATGTCTATAAAGAAGAAAAAAAACGACTAAAAATAAATGGAATTATATGTAATTCCTAAGACATCCGAAAGTTGTGCAATATTATTTATAGATATAGTTGATTCTTCTGAATCTGACAATTCAGATAAGAAATCGTATGTAGAATTTCCCATAATTTCTGGAGATGATAACGAATAATCCTGATGATTAATATTTATATTATTATTATCCTTATTCAATTCGTTATCATCTTTCGCGTTGGAAATAATCAACGAATCATTTAATAATTTACTCCATGAATCGGTAGATTCACTTATCATATCCAAATAAGAATTACATTCCTCTAAGTCACCATTATTTGACTGTAAAGGGGATTCCGATTCGATTTTTTCAATATTTTGGGGTGTAATAAAAGAATTAATTTCTGAATAAATTAAATCATCTAAGATTTCATTCGATTCAGTATTAATAGATGATGAATGAGACGTTGATTCAATATATAAATCATAATATTCATCTATAATTGGTGAATTATCATTGCTATCGTTACTAATGTTACTATCGTTACTATCGTTTGTCTTTGATGATGATGATCCTTCGTCTAAATCATATTGAATATCATGAGTAGTAATTGAATTTTTTAGTTGAGTAGAAGATGTTGTTATTGATGATTCTTTCGAAGATTGTTGTTGTTGTTGTTGTTGTTGTCGCTGTTGTTGCTGATGATGTTTTGACAAGGATTTTTTACGTAAATCTGGTTGTTGGAACGAAACTATATTCCATCGTTCTCTTTTTTTACGACGAGGTAACTTTGGAAAAATTTCATTACGAATTTCATTAGCTTCTTTAGCTAATCTTTTATATTCATCTTTGACCATTTCGCTTTCTTGTTCCCAAGATTGGGAGGCCATCGATGAAACAACAGTCATAGGAAGCTGATAACCGTCAGCTCTTGCAGTTTCTACAAAAATCTTTCTATAAATAATAAATGCGTTTGGTCCTCGTCGATTTTCGGTTTGTTTAGTCATTAAATCTCTAATATTAATTACTGGTGGAAAAGCAACTTTAATGAAAGGTTTTGATGATATTTTCATAACTTGATTCGGTAAATTAGGATTACTTGAATCAATGAAGACGCAGGTTCGTGTATTAAGAGGTAATTTATGGTTTTTCATATTCTTTTTCCTTAAAAAAAAATTTGTCTAACTTCTTTTGTGCAGAATAGAGAAAAGATCTCTTCTCGGTGGTATTTATTAAAAGATTTTACTTTGATCTACAAACAATATGATTTAGACAAAAAAAGAAAGTATTATAATTAAAGAACTTCTATATTTGGATGTTCATCATTTGCCGCCACAGCTTCAGATTGTCGGTGGATGATAATTAATTCCAATTCTAAATTTAACCGTATTTCAAGTAAACCAATCCTTATGTTCACTTATTGTCGAACAAAGAATTCAAAGAATTTTAAAGAATTGTCCTTGTGTCAATTAACTGGCGAAATACTTTGACGGTCTCCGACCGAGCTAGAAATATATTTGAAAGGTGTACAGCAGCCCACAATAACTAAAATGTAAATTAGGTAACCTCTTTTTTTTTTTTTTTACCAAATTTAAATTTAGACTGTACGAAATATTTATATTGACCACTCGTTTAAAGCAATACCCGAATACACAAGTGAAAAAAAAACAAATAGACAATTTTGCCAAGAGATAAGAACAAACTTTCATTCATTGGCTTATTATGGTTTCTTGTAATTGTTTCTCAAATTACAATTACACATTATGATTATTATGATCATTGTTGATTGTACAGGATTCTAAAAATATTGTAAACCAATAAACATAATTTCATGTAAATTTATAAATATCTTTTTTTTTAAAAAAAAATTCATCCACCCTTTTATAACTAAAAGAGTTTATAACCTAACCAGCATAGGTTATTCACGGTTATTCTTGTTTCGTTCTATTGTAAAATATATATAAAATTAAATATTTGATTTGTTTGTTATTTGTCATGTTACACCTTTTTTTCGAATTTAAAATATTCTACACATGTCGATTTATTATACTAATTACTAATTACGCGGGAATGTCATGTGAGCATTAGTTACACGATAAAATCTTGGCATGAATTAATCATTGATTGACTGTACATCTGAACGCAATGGGAAAAAAAATAATAATGATTATGTAATGATATCGTAATCACTGCATTAATCGTATGATTATATTTAAAAAAAAATTAATAATAAATAAAAAATTTTATTTAAATTAAATATTTTTAAATATTGTTATCAACAAAAATAGAATTTGCCATGCATCCACACGTCAAAGTCATTCTCAAAGAACATAAAGAAACAAATAAATCTTTATGTGTGCAATAATATTAGTCCATGAGAAAGTTAGCGAGATTAAGGAAATAGTGTTACTTCAATTTCCCACCTGTTCTTGTTTTGAGTTGGCGGTCAAATTCGACGTTGATCCATATAAATGATTCTTTTTTTTAAAAAAAAAAATATATATATATAACTAATTTAGTGCGTGACATTTTAAGCCAATGGCGTTCATTATTATCTTATACATAAACTTAAAAACAATTCATATTTACTAATTGCATATGGATTTTTTTATACTTATTTCTTAGAGTTAATTCTTGTATGTCATAATCATAAAATAATACTATTTTAAATAAATCGAACAAATTCAAAAATTCTTGGTGAGTATTCAAGGAAGACAACAATAATTAATAATTTTAGAGATTATCAAATTTTTATAGATAATAATCAATTATATTATTATCATATTCAAAATTAAGATAATCAGTACAATTATTTATGTCATCAAATTCTATAAATTCATATCCAAAGTTAGGATTATTATTATTATCGATAGAATTTATTTGTGTTTCGTGTGTTGAAAAATTATTAATATCATTCGATGATGTATTGAATGATGTTGTTCCTTCATGAGAGAAAGGAACAAATGTGAAATTATTAGGGTATTCAAAAGTCAATGTTTCATCAAATTTTGTACTATTATTATTATTGTTGTTGTTGTTTGGTTGTCTTTTGTTCTTAATAGAAGATGTTGATTTAGATGATTTGCAATTTTGTTTTCGTTCAAACAATTTTGAATCTTTCCAGGAAACTCTACAAAAAAGAACATTCTTTTTCCTTCTTTCATTTAATTCTTGCTCCACTTCATGAGCAATTTTTTTGTAAGCATCTTTAACTGTATCAGGTTCGTTTCGCCAATAAATGCTGACTAATTTTGATACATCAGTCATTTTAAAATTCTGATTTAATAAGTTAAGATGATCCAAAAACGCCATTCTATAAATCATAAAAGCATTTGGGCTTTTTAGCATAATTTGATCTTTTCTTCTCTTATCAGCAATTTCATTAGCACTAATATTTGGAGGAAAAGGAAGTATAATTTGTGAAGTTACATTAGATACAGTTGGGAAAGAATTAAACATAAATTGATGTTGTTTGATGGATTTTTCAGGATGAAGCTTAGATTGGTTTAATTGTTTCGACATTTTTTTTTTTTAAAAAAAAGAAGGAATATTTTAAAAAAAGAAAATATTTGTAAAAGGAAAAGATCGTAGGAAAATATGGTTTATTTGATCAATTGGTACTTAATTTTATGAACGCCCAATGTTTGGAGGATATATCTTAGAGTTTATATATCTGCCATTATTGAGTTATTTTTAAAAAGAAATATAATGATAAACAAGAAATAGTTAGTTATACAATAAATTATTAAAATTATTGATAATTAATAATAATTAATTACGTACAACAAGTTATAATATTTATAGTAGCAAAAAAATCGACATGACAATAATGAATGAATTCTTTGGTAGAATAAACAAAACTTAATTTCCTAAAATGATAAAAGAGAACTATCTGTTTTCTTTATAAGTTTATATTTGATTGTGTATTTTTTTATTATGATCCAAGCTTACAAGAAAGATGGAATCAGGTGACGTCATTCGTTAATTCAAAATAAACTTTACGCACATTATTTTCAGTTTTTTTTTTTTCAAAAGAATCTTTTAACTGAGACATTGTATATTGTTATTATTCCGTTAATACATGAATTTATGTTGAACAAGATCATCAATGGATTACCATTGCATATAAATTTATTTTGATTTGTGCAGGCGGTTTATGATCATCAAAATAGATTTACAGTGTTTACTTTATTATTCTTATTGGAATATGCTTTGTTGTACATAATATTTTATTCATTTGATGAACGAATCAGTAAATTTTGACCAAAAAAAAAATAATAAACCTAATTTAGTAGATTTTTAGTGGTACCTTTCAATCATTTCTATAGACCTATAGATTTTTAGTGGTACCTTTCATTCCTATAGATTTTAAATTATCTCTCTTTTGAATAGTTAGAATCTTTGTAAATTACAGAATATTTAATTTTAAAAATATTCTTCAGCATAAAAAATACAAAAAAAAAAAAAAAATAAACCGTAAATGCCAGCATTATTGTCATGCATAAAGTATATTTTATTGAATAAAAAGTTTTCATTATTAGAAATCCCGTTTAATAATTAAACCCCTCCCCCCAATTTTTCACTTAAATGTTTGTTTTGAACAACCCTGTAGTATTCAGAAGATTATCTATTTACTATATTACTTCCTTTCTTCTATTTGGGACAAAAAGAAAAAAAAAATTTATTAGGTTTTGTGATTAGATAAGATACTCTTTATTTGCTATTTTTTATTTGATTTACTTATGATATAAAAAATGTCATTACCTGTATTCCTTATTTACAAAAATAGAATATAGAAATAGAAAACGCAATAATAAATAATGAAGAAATTAATTTATTCGAAAATAGTAATATTAAAATCACATTTTTAAATTAATATTCAGAATGCGAATTTCCGCCTCTTCTGTATCGATCTGAATTTGAACTGTATCGATCTAAGCTATAGCCAGGGCTATAACGATCTGAATTGTATCGATCTGAATTGTATCGATCTGAGCTATAACGATCTGAATTGTATCGATCTGAGCTATAACGATCTGAATTGTATCGATCTGAGCTATAACGATCTGAATCGTATCGATCTGAGCTATATCGATCTGAATTGTATCGATCTGAACTGTTTCTATATTGACTTGAACTATATCGATCTAAACTGTTTCTATATTGACCTGAACTATATCGATCCGAACTGTTTCTATATTGACCTGAACTATATCGATCCGAACTGTTTCTATATTGACCTGAACTATATCGATTTGGGCTGTTTCTATACTGATCTGAACTGTTATGACCTGGATCGCGTCGATCTGCACTGTAGCGACCTGAACTGTATTGATCCGAGCTGGAATTATATCGACTTTGGCTGTATTGATTTGAACTGTGTCGATTAGAATTGTATCTATTTGAACTGTATTGTCCTGGACTGCATCGATCGGAACTATATCGATCTGAAATGTATCGGTCTGAACTGCATCGGTCTAAATCTGAACTGTCTCTATCTGAACCTGAACTGTACCGATCTGAGCCAGAACTTTGTCGATCTGGGCTGTATTGGTCTTCTGAACTGTATCGTTTTAAACTGTATTGGTCTTCTGAACTGTGTCGTTTTAAGCCGTGTTGGTCTTTTGAATTGCATTGGTAATCATATTGATCTGAACCGTATTGGTCTGCACTGTCTGGACTGATTGTATCATCCAATTTTTTCTATTAAATAACAATTAATAATATAATAATTATAGTATCAAATATAATATATAAACAGAAATACACTGAAACACAATATAATATTATTCCATACTAAAGTTTTCTCCAATTCTTCTCTTGCTCTATAACAAAATCTTACTAATCTAGTTCTTAAACCCCGGGATCTCATACCCAAAGCCTCGAGCTCTCTCCAATCCATATATATTATTTCTTTCCATGATTTCCCCTCAAAATGAGAAGCATATATCCCACATCCGATTGATTCAAGCCATCCAGCAAAATCTTTGTATGTTCAAGTATAAATATTAGTAAAAAATTAATCATAAATAGAATATAAATATAAGCATACCATTTTGCAATAAAGTTAAATCAATTGGTATTTTGGCTTCGAGTTCTGACAATCTCCTTGCCCTTTGAGTAAATATATCTATATGTATTCCTCGCTTTTTTGCCTATTTACAACGCAACAATGACAATAATATTAATAAATAATATATAATAATTTAATAATAAAATAAAAATACCTGATCATATTTAACAAGTATAAAATTCTTTAATAATATTTTTCTCAAATATGGAAATTTAATTCCTAAATTCTCCAAATCTTGCCATGTCATTTCTGTAATTTCTTGCCAATGATATCCTTCAAATTTATCTCCCAAATCGCCTAATCCAAATCCACTTAACCAAGCAGGAAAATCTAAATATATTAAATTTTAATTAATTAAATAATCTTTAAATATTATATTATTAAATATTATTCAAAAATTACGAAGTATTATTAAAAATTAGGAAATATGTTAAATTTTATTAAAAATTATAAAAAAAAAAATAGAAATACCTTCTAATAATTTATAATTAACTTTATCGAGATAATTTTCTTTATAAAATCGCATAAATTTATCTTCCTCTTCCGTACTTATGGGTTGTTTCAAAAAATAATAATCTTTTACTTTAAATCCATCAATCACCAATTGATAGAAATTCTCTGAAAATTTGGTTTTAGCTATAACAGGTGACTGAGTCGTAGTTGCATAACGTTTGATTGTTATTCCAAAATTATTATTGGGATTATTAACATTATTGATATTTAATGATGATGAAATAAATTTCGACTTTTGGAAATAATTATTATTATTTAAAAAGAACGACGACGACGAAAATTGTGTGTGTTCTTTGGCAATTGTTGTAGCAGAATAACCATTGATTAACATAAATTTAATGGGTTTAATGGGTGATGCTAGTTTAGTGATGATTTTATGGTAAGTTGTGTAAAATAATAATTTATTACATTTATTATGAACCGAAAAGAACATTTTTTACAATAATTTTTATAAAAGAGAAAAAAAGTTGAGAATCGATTGTGATAATCAAGTCGAGAAATAAAACACGGATCAGTGTAACATTTTTTTTCTTATTATTAAAAATATAGTTTTTTATTAAGTGTTAATTATTATTATAAAAATTACTATCTAACCAGTTGTTAATTTCCTCGAAGAATAAAAAGTTCCTTTATATATAATGTATATAATGTATATAATGTTTATATAATGTCTTTGATGATATCTGAAAGAAATTACATTGATGGAAAAATTGAAAAACAGTACTTGTTTTGAGCATATATTATTACATACTTTTTCTTGATGTTCCTATTTTTGATAAATTATAAAATTTGAAAAATATATAAAACTAAAAGAAAAAAATTCCAAAAAAATACTTAAGTTTTTTTGACCGAGATTTATTACTTCATTCATTTTATTAATGTATCCGAATCAATAAAATAAAGATATCAAATAAAGCACCAATTTTCATGAATTCCTTGATTTTTCATATATATTGTTTTGGAATCCCACAAAATAATGAAAATGAATGAATATTTAATAGAAATTCATTTAGCTGTTTATATTGCCCAATTTTAAAACTTAAAATTATGTTAGTAGTTAGTAATTTTTTTTTTGTTTCTACTTAGTTAAGTGGACTGTTCCGTGACTTAGATGATTGGAGAAGGAACTTTGTCTTTGCCATTTAATTGTATATATAACATTAAACAGACCTCCAAGTATTCACCAACAGTCAACTTAGGGTTGGAGAAAGACCTTCCATCTACCAAAATAATAAATTATTTATTTTTATAAAATAAAAATATACACTTTTTTAAATTTTTGGCCAGCATTTTTCAATCGAAGTTTATATCATTCATATTTATTATTGTGACAGGGCTTAATATATGTAAGAGAACGCGTGTGTTTAATAAACCCATCTCTGGTCGTGATTTGGGTTGTATTAGGTAGATTTCGATGTTTCATGTCTTAATATGTTCAGGTCAGATTTCAATATGTCATGTCTTATTATGGTCGGAATGGTCAGTATCGGCTTGGCAGAAGTGGAACTCGCTATACTAATATAACAATTTAATCTATGAAATAATAATCTCATTGAGTATATATATTACAGATTATCTGTTATCAGGAGCCTCACTATTTTCCGTGGTTTGGGGACTAGCATGTATAATAGAAGTAAGGTGAAACGAAAGATGAAGAAGTTAAAAAGAAAAGACGTAAGAATAGCAGAAGAAGAGGAAGTAGAAACATAATAGGAATATAGGAGCAAAATAATTAGAAGAAACAGAAGAGTTAGAATAAGATGTATAATAGTAATAAGGCGAAAAAGAGATAGAAACGGAAGAAATGGCAGCAGAATAAAAGAGCAGTCAAAGGAGTAAAGAAACAGAAGAGAACGACAGTAAAAATTACAGAATAAAACTTGATATCTATGTAGAGGAATTTTTGCGGGCTAACTTCTAAACTAATGCTTCGAATTTAACAAGAAAAATTATCAACCGTGTTTATTTCTACCTCTCCCCTAGTTTCTACTCGGCGTTTTTCACGTGATCACTTATTTTTGCGTTTATTTTAGAATATTTATTTATTTTTGTACGATTGGTGGATAAATCTTAATTTTAATTCATTGAACTTTATTCATGAATATCAATGAATTATTTATCGTTTCATCTACAATATAAGAATATTAATTTTACTGTTTCTTAATTCTTTGGCAGTTTAGATTTTAATCTCTTGGTGTTCTCATGTAAGCGAGCTCCGTGACGTGACTGCCCCATTAGAGGTTTCGCGAATCACATTAGTCTGATCCAAAAGCGAACCTGAAGAGTAAAGTCCACCCTCTTCCTCGTGTAAATGTGTTCTATATACAGAATGTAATTTTGATGCTTGTTTTTTTTAGATTTTTATTAATAAATTTATAATGTAAATAAATACATTTGTTAATACCATAATTATCATCTTCATCCTTATCGTTACTATAAGCAGAGATAAAACTTCGGATAAAACCAGTTGTTATCAACCACACTTTTGCATCCATCTTCGGTAATTATTTTTAACACTATTATTACTAGTAATATCTCTTTGATCAACTGATTAAATATTATAAATTTTCCTTTTGTTATTCTTAGTAATATTTGATTTTTCTTGTCATATTGGTTGATTGTTCTTGCTAAATCAGATACTTAGGTTGATACTATTTATTATTATCTCAGTAAAATTAATTCTTTATTTGTAATTGAAACAGTGTAAAAATTATTACTTATTCCCTTTTGGGAAAGAATGCAAATTTTTCCTATTCACGAGAATTTCGAACCAATAGTATGATTTAACATTATGATATATTTTATTTAATAAAGAAATTTCAATTCATACTCTATAATCGAAAAAAATATGATAGGGCTTAAATAATTCAAAGTATAATTTTTTTGTTTTAATTTCTACATATTCACAATTAAAGAAAGGAATAATTAAAATAATCAATAACCAAATATATTCTTCCAGAATCATCTAAATAATTTATAACTAATAATATAAAAAATAATTATTATAAAAATGAATAATGATACTTACTAGTATTTAAATCAGATCAGACAGATTTTTTCATTTTTAGGTTTTGGAAGATTTGAAAAATCAAGAAGTCAACTGGTATAAATTGTTTGTGATGTGTTTTATAATTAAGCAGGGTTGTTGAATTGCTTCCCTTAATCAACTTTCATGATCCCTCCTTTATGTTATTTTTGGAAGTTTTTTTTTTATAATTTTCATTTTATTATTATCAAAGTTATTTTCCTTATAATAATAGTAGCATTTATTAAAGTGGCACATCATAAGTCCATTAATTTTCATAAGCAATAATTTCAAATGAATAAACATCAGCATCCTTTGTATATAAAGTTGAAAATTGTGATAGAATAATCTAAATTCTTTTTAGATATCGTAAAACAATTATATTTATGAGTTCCTGGTCCATTATTTCTTTATTTATTTATATTATTTTATTAAAAAAAAAAAAAATTAAAAATTAAAAAATTAGATGTTCCAATTTCATTATTTTTACTATAAGATATTAATAGAGTATCCCATTTTTTAAAAGCTGATAACTTTTTAAAAAAGATCAAATCAAAATTCTATCACATAAGATTGAAAAATCTAGACTTAAGCTATCAATTTTTATGATATTTTTTTTAAATAATACATTTTTTCAAAAGTAAATACCTTTTAAAGTTGACCCAAAATTTTGTCGGGTTAAGATTTAACGCACTATAATAATAATAAAATATATGTAAAATAACCCAGGGAACAATTTATCTTAATACATCTTAAGCAATTAAAACACCATTTTTCGAAATATTTGATATTTATAACATGGGTTTAATCTGGTTAAAAGATTATAACTTTTGACCCTCAGTTTATAAAATATTGTGACCCTAACTCAGATAGGATTCCCAAGCCAGACCCGACTCTTAGGAGCACTAGTAATAAGTTAAATAATATAACTCCACTTCTTGAAGAAGTCAAAGATGTAATTAATACTTGAGCAATTGTTTTACTTCAATAAAGAAGCAATAATATAATTTATTAAATAACTGAGTAACTGCTGCTCTTTATTATTACAGATTTTACCTTTCTATATAAAATATATTTGTATAGTGATACATATATTACATAATTGGAAATGACAAATAATATAATAAATATAAATATAATAAAGATAAAATAAAATATAAAATAATATAGTAATAATAAAATAAAATACTGTTACATGAAGACATGGTTAAAACCAAAAACCTCTTGAGATTATTGTACCCTGAAGGTCAGTAATATTGCAAGTCATCTAGCTTACTGATAAGACAGGTTTGATGAGATACTGATTATCAGGTTATGCTAAAATTTGAGTTGCAATATAATTGAGTTGCTTTTATTATTATTAGTTTTATAAACAAAATATATTGTTTCAATAAATTTTATTATCAAAAAATTTTTCCTATTGAATAAATTTTTCATGGTCTTACTCAAAACATCTTTTGAAAAACTCATGGCACAGATTTCATTTGCAAATTAAATTGATGTGATGAGCAAAACATCTAATTGGAATTATATTCTTTTAGTAACCTCTTTTTGATGCAATTTAAGATAATATTATTTCTATTTACATTATTACTGGAAACTAAAATTCTCCAGTCTAAGACTAAAACCTTTTATTAAAAGCACAGACAGCTGTCACTTTTTTTCCAGCTATATTACATCTGGATGTTCAGAATTATCAGTCATTTTGAGTAAAAAAAAAATTATTTTTTCATTTTTATAACAGTACTAAACTGAAGTCTGGTTGCACCTTCATTGATAATAGATGTAATGAAGAGATTTGATAACTGATACAAATTGTTTCCATTTCTAGAATATGAAAAATTCTGAAGCTGAAATTTGAAACATTATATCTTCTAAATTCCATCCTACCTTGATATTGTCAATATCTTCATAGTTAAAGTTAGATGACACTGGAATGTCAATTGGTACATCTGAACTTTTAAATTCACCTTTATTGATCATTGAATATAATATTTCTTCACACAAAATTGCACCTGTTCAATGTGAAATTTGAAAATATGTTACAAAAAAAGCAGATGATGTTGAGGCTATTACAATCTAAATACAACTCAATTCCAATTTTTCAATTTTTAATTGTATTTGACTCGATAATTGTATCATTTACTATATAAAAATGAAATTTTTGCTTTACTCAATTCCAATTTTTAATTGCATCTGACAACGTGTATAGTTGAGAGCATAGTATTACCTTCAAATATTTTATTTGCAAGGTTTAATATATGCAGCCAAAATTCACAAAATAAGTAAGGTCAGTCACAGAGACTTTTTGTAGTATAGCATTGTTGTAATATTTTTTTCACTTATTTTCTTCTTCATCATCAGATTGTCAACTTTCTGAAATCCACCAATTAGGCTATTTGCAAGAATAAATAATACTAATTAAAATAAAAATAAAGAAAGTTTCACTAATTATATTTTTGTAACTAACTTATAATTATTTTTAAGTTTGGTGTTTTGGGGGTGATTTCTGTGACACTTAAGACATTGAAATTCGTGTTTAGCTTTAATTCTAATATTATTTAAATTTAATGAAGGAGAAGTTGTATTAGAAAATTAAATAGTGGAACGATATGTAAAATGATGACATGGATACACAAAAGATTTCGGAAGAAACTTTGGCAAAGCAGAAGAATTAAGGAAATATGCAGTTGGTGTAGGTGGATTCATAGGAAATTAGGAGGGAGAAAGGTGATTAAGTGTGGATAATGCAATTAATCTATCAGTTAATAGAAATATCGATGGCACTTATGGGATTTTCCTTTAGGACGGAACCTTAGTTATCTAACTATGCAAATTAGCTGTCTATAGTTGACTAGTGTTGACTAAATATGTCCAATTCAATCCATTTGCCACCACTACACAAAATTCTAGATTTGAGAATTAAATATCAATGTATAATAATATAATCAATTAAGATAGAAATATTTTAATTCTTTAATTATATGGAATAAAAGAGAAAACAAAATAAAATCAAATACTGTATTATAAATACAAAACATTAATAAATTACATTAAATTTTTTTTATTTCTTATTAGATTTGGCAACTTCTAAAATTTTCAAAGTATTTTTCATCATTTCGCTGATATTATTAAATGCTGAAATCTTTGGCATTGATTCTACAATCTCATGAGAATCTTTCATATCAGAAATTGTAATATCCACTTCTGTGGTTAAATTTTTTAATCCTTTCTAATAATCATAACAAAATAAAAATTAGAAAAATAAAAATGATACAGAATATAAAATATATAATATCCTTTTTTTAATAATGACCTTATCTTCTACAATTTGTGGGACTCTTTTACGAATATGGTCACTCATATGATACAATCCAAGTGAAGAATCATTATAAAGTTGAAGTATAAATGCTTCCAGATCTACACAAGCTATAAAAAACAAAAATAAAATAAATCAATATATATATAAATATATTTATTTATTTATTTATTTATTTATTTATTAAATGATAAAAGAATAAAAAGTAATAATCATCCAATTCAAATCATTCAAATTATTTAAAATTTTTACCTTTCTTGACTTTTTCTTTCAACATAGCCTCTTGAACAATTGGATCGATAACTTGTGAATTGTTATAATAATTTGAACTTGTCATACTAAAAATACTTCTAGATCTTTTAGAAGGATTCATGAAAAATTGGTCAATAGAACCAAATGATGATGGAGCCCACATATTAGAATATGCATTATTATTGTTTGACGATAGAACTTGATCTGATAATACAGAAGAAATCGATGCCGCATAATGTTTTCGGCGTATGGGAAGAGCATCACTGGGTTTATAATTGTTATTGTTATTGTTATTGTTACTCATGATGGAATCATTATTGTTATTATTACTCGTAAGGTCATCATTTTTGTCTAAAGATTTTATAACGCTCATTTCTTTATTTATTTTACAAAAATTTTTTTAAGTAGTTTTTAATAAGTTACGCAAATTCCAATGATTGGATGGAATAAATCACTTGACAAATTAACAGATACACGTGTAACGACGATTTCGATTTACAATAAATTGTCAGTCTGTTTTTAAAATAATCTATATTTATTTTCAAAATCAAAATCGATTCGAAGTCGATTACCGTGTCCATTACCAGTAAGATATGTGTCTACCCTCCTCCCTTAGAATCAAAGTCCTTTATATTATAAAAGTTTGGTCAATTTTACATGATCGTGATAGCTTATATAAATAAATCAGAAGGTGTTGATCAGATGATAGAAAAAAAAATGATTTGCCTCAACCATGCACAAAAAACAGGGTCTTATTTTATCAAAAGTGTGTCTTGCATTAGGTGGAAGTATCTTTTCATCTGGACAGGCATATGAGATATCCCATCTCAATAGATCAGCATTTATTAGAAAAAATACACTCCGATTTATAACAAATCACAACTCTAAAAAAAATAATGGCTAGTTAATAATTTAACTGGACCAGTGAGGTCTCGACTTTATTCATTAATTATAAATCAATAAAGAAATACATGAAGAATAAAATCTGACTAAGTTAAAAACTATGGCCTTACCTACCACTGTAGAAAGTTATCCTTTCTACTGGAAGGTTACAATCTCACCTACATCTAAACAAGAGAGAATATTTAATAGTATATCTATATTATATGTATATATATTTCTTATAGTATTTTGAATAATATCTGTTCCTATTTCTTTTAAATGTTTTTTATGTTCTATATATGTATAATCTGTAATTGGTCTTTTACCTTTACTTTTTTTATCTGTTTCACTTATATTATTTATTTTTTTCCATTTTAAAAATTCTTTACATTTTTTTTTTCAATTGTTATATAATATATCTTTTCACATTTTAAAGATGTCCATGATTATTTGTTTTCCCATATCAACAGAATTTGTTACGCTTCGTATTATTTTATATAAGGATTTGGAAATTAGGCCTCTTATTTGATCATTGAATTTAAATCTATCATGTGATTGTGTACCTAAGATTTGTCTGTTGTAGTTAATTTTCAGAAAATGTCCATATGTTATCTTTGTCATTAGATCCTTTAAATCCTTATTTCCTTTCTCTTTTGTATATACTTTTTTAATTGTTACTTGGAAAGTGATTTTAAGATTTTTTCCTTTTTCTGAATATAGGAAAACATGTGTATTAGTCTCTTTATATTTTTCACAAAATGAACAATCAGGTTTAGTATATATATCAGGTTTTTGTGTATATAGAGTTGTCATTGTAGGTAATTCTTTATTTAATAATTTTAATGAAAAAGATCTTAATGCACTATCCCTCGTATCTATTTTAGTAGATGCAATTTTTGAACCATGCTATGATTGAATTGACTATTTCCATTTAGTTTCCTCTATAATTTTTTTATTTAATTATTTATTGATATGATGTTGTGTGAACCATATTGTTAGTGATTCAACCTCTTCTTTCTTTTTTACAAAGGACTTAATATCTGTATCAATACTTTCCCCTTTCCATTTAAAATAATATTGTTGTTCTCTGATGTAATCTGAATTAACTTTAAAGGTTGATCCTGAATTGACTCCCTGTTTTCTGATGTAATCTGAATTGACTTTAAAGGTTAATCCAAAATTGACTTTCTTTCTTACTAATTTGTCTACTTATTTATTATAAGTATCACATGTATGGACATCTATTTTTGTTAATGTGATATCTAGTTTTTTTATATATATTACTTCTTTAATGATTTGTAAGATCAGTGGATTTTTATAATTACTTTAATGTTTTTTCTTTTTTTCATCAGTATATCCTTTAATTGCACTAATTGAAGAATTGCTATCTATATATATTTGAACTTCTGTATTGTTTGGTACTACCTATAAAGCTAAAAGTATTCTCTATAGCTCTGCATATGTTGATGATAGTGGTCCTTCTATTCTTCCTTTCTAGATAAATTAACTTGAATTTATATTATTTGTTATACACACTACCCCAAAACCTATCATTTGTTGACCAATAAAATTGTTACTATTGTTAGTGAATTTTTTGTTATTTTTTAATAATCCATCTGTGTATATAATTATTTTCTTATGTCCTCATAACTTATATGTAATGTCTTCCAAATATTCTAAAGTTTAAGGATCAGTGTCTATAATGTTTTTCAAGAAAACTAAATTATCGATGTTTCTTTTTATACTTTTATGTTGAATATTTATAGATATATTATTATAATATATATTAAGTGACTTGAATAATATAATCATTCTCTATATGTTGTTACTAGTCAATCTTTTGGACTAATTTTATTTTCCAAAAGGCAATTTACAACTAGCAACTCGTAAACAGTTA